CTATTGATATCTATCCTAACATTTGTTGGCAGAAGAGATAAATTTCTGAGCAGGTCAGTAAATAGGTAAATACAGTGGCTTCTTATCTTAAAATCTTCAATTATGGGGCATCCAGAATCAAAAAAGAAAAGAGGGGGAGGCAATGTGGCCTATTTCACAGAGCACTGGAACAGGACTCAGGACACTTGGGGTCTCCTCCCAGCTCTGTCACTGGCCTACAGGTGACCTCCAGCAAGTCATTCACCTCTCTGTGCCTCAGTTTCCCCATCTGTAAAATGGGGATAATAACATTGACCTCCTTTGTAGAGTGCTTTGAGATCTACCGATGAACTGTGCTATATCAGAATTAGATTCTATTATTATTATTAACAGGAAAAGGAAGTCATACATAACCCTATTTCTCTTGGTGATTAAGTAAAACTTTTTGTTATAATGTGGTATTATGTCCTAATCTTAGTAGTACATCCTTTTGCTTCACTGAAAAGAAAAAGGAATTGAGGATTATATGATATTTTTATTGCTATTGATTGTACATCACTATTGTAACAGATTGCTAAAGACACAAAAACTACCTCTAGAAATTGTTTTAAGTACATGAGAAGCAGGAAGCCTGCCATACAGACCGTGGGGCCACTAAATAACAAAGGTGTTAAAGGAGCACTCAAGGAAGTCAAGGCCATTGCAAGAAGCTCAATTAATTTTTTTTCCATCAATCTTAACTGCAGAAGAAGTGGGGGAGATCCCCACAACAGAACTATCCTTTTCGGGTGACCAATCTGATGTACAGTCCAAATTGATGTGTAATAAGATGATATTTTAGACAAATTGATAAACTAAACAGTAAGTATTGTATTAGTTTATCTGGTACCTTCAGGACCAGATGGTATCCACCCAAGAGTCCTGAAGGAACTCAAATATGAAATTGCAGAACTACTAACTGTTGTATGTAACCTATCACTGAAATCACCTTCTGTATCAGATGACAGGAAGGTAGCTAATGTAATGCTGATTTTTTAAAAGGGCTCTGGAGCAGATCCTGGCAATTACAGGCCGATGACCCTACCATCAGCACCAGGCAAACTGGTAGAAACTACAGTAAAGAAATAAATTATCAGACACAGAGATAAACATGATTTGATGGGGAAGAGTCAACAAGGCTTTTGTAAAGGGAAGTCATGCCTCTCCAGTCTCTGAGGAAGTAAACAAGCATATGGATAAGGGTGATCCAGCTGATACAGCGTACTTGGGTTTTCAGAAAACCATTGACAGGGTCCCTCAGCGAGGCTCGTAGGGAAGTTAAGTAGCCTTGGGATACAAGGAAGGTCCTCTCATGGATCAATAACTGGTTGAAATATTGGAAACAAAGGGTAGGAATAAATGGTCACTTTTCACAATGGAGAGACATGAACAGCAGGTCCCCCCAATGATTTGTACTGGTACCTGTGCTGTTCAACATATTAATAAATGATCTGGAGAAGGGGGTGAACAGTAAAGTGGCAAAGCCTGTAGATGATAGCTCAGTCCAAAGCAGGCTGCAAGGAGTTACAAAGGGATCTCACAATACTGCGTCACTGGCCAACAAAATGGCAGGTGAAGTTCATTGTTGATAAGTTCAAACCAATGCACATTGGAAAAAATAATCCCAATGACACATATACGATGATGGCTTCTAAATTAGCCGTTACCACCAAAGAAAGAGATCTTGGAGTCACTGTGGATAATTCTTTGAAAACTGCTGAAAATTGAGAAATGATCAAAAAGGCTCATAGTATATTAGGAAAGGGATAGAAAATTAGACAGAAACTATCACAATAAATCCATGGTCCACCCATACCTTGAATACTATGTCCAGTCCTTGTTGCCTCATCCACAGAAATGATATAGTGGAACTGGAAAAGGTACTGAGAAGGGCAACAAGGATGTTGAAGGGTACAGAATGGCTTCTGTCCAAGGAGAGACTAAAAAGATTAGGGCTGTTTAGCTTAGAAAAGAGACACATTGGGTGATATGATAGAGGTCTTTCTCAGCCATTGTAGCATCATCATTGATTTGCAAGGACGCTGTTTAGTTATCATTATATTGCACATTGACAGCTGGGATCTATCCCTGCAGGGAGCAGGCGGATCAGACTGGTGAATGGGGCAGGTCGCTGTGCCGGGAGAGTGGAGATTTATTACAATGGCAGCTGGGGGACAGTCTGTGATGATTCCTGGGATCTGTCAGACTCCAATGTCGTTTGCAAACAACTTGGATGTGGACATGCCATCAATGCAACTGTCTCTGCTCATTATGGGCAAGGATCTGGGCAGATCTGGCTGGATGATGTGAACTGTACTGGGAATGAATCCGATCTCTGGGCGTGTCCTTCCAGGGGCTGGGGCCAGCACAACTGCAGACACAAAGAGGATGCAGGAGTTCTCTGCTCAGGTCTGGTCTGGGAATGCTCTCATGAGTCTGATAATCAGGGAGTTAATGAAGTACATAGGTGTCTGAGGAGTGAGCTGAGGATGTCAGAAAGTTTATTTCCTTTTTCCTTTCTCTCTCTCACACTGCCCGCTACTTGCAGTGGTCACCATTAAAAAGTCAGCATTGCCAACAGTTAATACCAAGGGGTACTACAAATATCAGATTGATTTCTGAATCTCAGGTACCACTGTTTGCAACTGTTGGTGCCTTTTAAATAGTAATTTCATTGCTCATGGGCAGGTCACTGGTCTCTAGAAGAATGTCTGTGATTTTTCTGTAGAAGAATGAGCAGGATTGTTAGCAATCTCTGGGATTTCAACCTTTAACCCCCCTGTGTATTTCAGAATCAGAAAACTTCACACCCAACTTCTGCATTTCCTCCTAGAATTCACGGATCTGAGACTGGTGAGTGGCAGTGACTGTGCTGGGCGACTGGAGGTTTTCTACAGTGGGACTTGGGGCAGTGTTTGCAACAGTCCTATGGATTCCGTCACCATGGCACTTATATGCAAACACTTGGACTGCGGAGACAGAGGGACACTTTTGAAAGAGTTTACACATGGAAGCGGCTCTGGCCCCACCTGGGTGGATGGTGTTCGGTGCGATAAGCAACACAGCTCCCTTTGGCAATGCCCGTCAGACCCTTGGAAACAACAATCGTGTAACAGAGTAGAAGAAACCCATATTGCTTGTGACGGTAAATAGCAAACATATATACACACACACACATTCAACAGTCAGGTCTAGCGCACTGAAAGATTTTGATATAATTATTATATTTTCTTAAAAAGATCTAGTGAAAAGTAACAAAATATAACAATTATATCAATCTGTATCTATAGCTATATAACATTCTCAGCAATGGTACAAACTTCTTCTTGGTTTCTGAGGTTCTAGAAATAGTAATGTGGCCTGTTAATAACAAACATGGATATCGCTATTACAAAGACATACATTTCACAGCAACCACAATTAGGACCTAATCCAACACCCAGTGAAGTCACGGAATCACAGATTTTAAGGGCTGAAGAGACTGATAGGTTCTTCTAATCTGACCTCCTGCATATCACAGGCCATAAAATATCAGCCAGTAATTCCTGCATCATGCCAGTACATTTTAGTGGAGCTAGAGCATATCTTTTAGAAATACGTCCAGTCTTGATTTAATGACTTCATATCATGGAGACTCCCCATATCCCTTGGTAAATTGTTTCAATGGTTAATTAGCATGAACAAATTCTAAGCCCTTCGCAATCCTTGTTACTGGGATAAGAATCTTGATCTCTCAAGTCTCACTCACACAGCAGCAGAGCCTTTCAGGAGAGCATTATTACTCTCATTTTACAGATAGGGAATGGAGACACAGAGATAAAGTGTCCCAAGGTCACCCATGGTGCCTTAATGAGCATTGGCTCAGGCCTCTAGTAAGAGCCAGTAAGTGTTATCCATTAAAGAACATGATTTGTGTGCCTTTCTGATTAAACATCTTCCAAGGAATAACAATCAGAGGTTTGGGCTGTGAAGTTCATCTATAGATCTGTGTCTCAAGTATTATTTATATTATGGTGTCAAGTATCAGAGGGGTAGCCGTGTTAGTCTGAATCTGTAAAAAGCAACAGAGGGTCCTGTGGCACCTTTGAGACTAACAGAAGTACTGGGAGCATAAGCTTTTGTGGGTAAGAACCTCACTTCTTGCATCTGAAGAAGTGAGGTTC